TTTGTCTCTCAAACCAAATACTACAAAGAGATTCTCAAGAAGTTTAGAATGGACACTTCAAAGGAAGCTAACACACCCATGGGAACTTCATGCTATTTAGACAAGGATGAATCAGGTTTGGAAATTAATCAATCCATGTATAGATGTATGATAGGTTCACTGTTATACTTAACTGCAGGTAGACCTAATATTATGCATTCTATCTGTGTGTGTGTGCTAGATTTCAAGCATGTCCAAAAGAATCTCACCTAACTGCAGTTAAACGTATTTTAAAATATTTAAAAGGAACTACTGGCTTTGGTTTATGGTATCCATCTGAAGCTTCTACTAGTTTAATAGGTTATTCTGATGCTGGTTAAGGTGGATGCAAAATAGATAGAAAAAGTACTAGTGGAACATGTCATTTGTTAGGATCATCATTAGTGTCTTGGCACTCTAAGAAACAAGCATGTGTTGCTTTATCCACTACTGAAGCTGAATATATTGTTGCTGGTAATTGTTGTGCTCAAATTTTATGGATGAAGCAACAACTAGAAGATTATAGTATATTTCTAAATGATATTCCTTTGATGTGTGATAATACAAGTGCAATCAATCTTACTAAGAATCCAGTAATGCACTCTAGGACTAAACATATAGAAATCAGACATCATTTCTTGAGAGATCATATAAATAAAGGAAACTGTAAAATTAAGTGATACAAAACATCAATTAGCGGATATTTTTACTAAGCCTCTTCCCAAGGATAGATTTTATGATCTTAGAAGAGACTTAGGGATATTAGAAATAGCTTAAATTCTGCTTAATTAAACAGTTTTTGGATGGTTGTAATGTTATAATCAATTATGTAGGGTATTAATAGATTATCATGTGTCTAAACCTCAAAAATTTGATGAACTCTCTGGAATAATCGATTATTTGAAGTTATAATCGATTATTTGCACCTAAGATGTCCAAAATCAGAAGTTACTCACTAGATTAATCGATTATTTCATCAAATAATAGATTAACTACAACTTTAATCGATTAACAACTTGATTTAATCGATTAAATAGGTCTTTTACTGGTTTAATCGATTATTTCAAGATTTAATCGATTAAACCTGATAGTTTTTGTCTCCAAGTCGTTTCCAACGGCTCTTTTGGCCCCTATGCACTCCCAAATGACCGTTTATGACTGTTGGAGATGTTGTTTATAAATAGGAAGCCTTCATTTCACTTCTACACACCTCAAACTCTTGAATCCAAGCATTCTAGCATCATTCAAGTCTTCTTGCCTTCTCCTAACATCACTTGTCTTCCTAAATTCTCTTGTTTTTCTTCTAATCCTAAAATGGCCTCATCTTCTCGTGCTAAAATTCCCACCAGAAGAAGATCTGCTCCTGTCTCTCATCCCCGTCCTAATTCTGTCGAAGGATGGATCTCCGATGATGAGGGCCGACAGGAATTTCTCACTTTTTGGAAGGAACGAGGTATCATTACTCCAAAATTCCTTATTGGTGATCAATTCATCAATAGGAGATTTAATTTTCCTAACCTTCTTGAAATTCAAGGTGTTCTCCCTTTTATCCAAATGCAGGGTACATACTATCCTGACTTAGTTAGGGTATTTTACTCTCGCTTTAAATTTAGAGATCAAGTAGCTACTTCTCGTGTAAAGGGGGTAACAATTATTCTTGATGACGATATATGTGAAAACGTTGCACATTTTCCTTTAAGAGATGATGCTATTAACATTTTTGCAGAGTTAGATGACTTTGACAGGATCATGGCTTACCGTTCCTTTCTCCGTAACCCTTCCATGGAGATTGAACGTCTTCTTCTTGCCGGACCATTAAAGAAGGAGGAACACCTTCTCCTGCATCTACTCGTCTGAATCTTATGTCCCCGGGCAACCAACCATGCCCAATGCTCTTCAATATATCTTCGCATTATTCATGCAATAATGAATAATGAGCCAATAGATTGGGGAGGCCTTGTCACAATGACTATGCTGAAGGCCAATCGTCATCCTACCTTCAAAATTCCCTATGCTCTCCTTATCTCTCGCATTCTAGAGTACAAAGGAGTGAATGTTGAAGGGGAACAAATGGTACGAACGACAAACTTAAACCGAATGTTGGACAGCACATTAACCCAACTTCAAATGGTGCGTATAAATACTATTTATGTTCACAAGGATGACGTTCCGAACATAGATGCAGATGATGAAGATTCTAACGAAGAAATGCCTCCTGCTGCTGAGTTTTCCTCTGATCAGATTCAAAATGCTAGAACATCTTCTGCTCCTCCTGGAACCCGTCAATCTGTGGAAGACATGTTAGTTGATATGAATCAGAGGATGCATGCATTCTTCACTCTCTCTAGAGTACGACATGAGGAAATCATTCGCCGTATCTCTGACGTAGATGATAAAGTGTGTCACTTAGAGAATAAATTTCATGCTCACTTTAATAGCGATAGTGAAGAATTTTAATACAGTTTTCATGTCTTCTTGTTTTTGTAAATTATTTTCATTAATGAAATAAAATTTGTATTTTTGCTTTGTTTGAGGAGGAGTTATTTCCTAATTATGCATATTTTGAGGGGGAGCTCTTAACTTATTTTTTGATCATGATCAAAATAGAGGGAGAAATATTTAAAGTCTCTTATGATTGAATTTAAATATTATCTGATATGTTTAATATTTTTTGTTAGTGTGACAGATAAACAAGTTATTACAAGGCTTTAAAAGAAAATTTTGATCATCATAAAAAATGGGGAGATTGTTGAAACATACAAGGACATGAATGTTGAACTTACATGGACATGAAGCTTGTTAATTTTGATGATGATTCAAGAACAATGGACTTAGAGAGTTGAAGACTTGTATTTTTGTGTAATAACTCTGTTTTGATGATTTTGAGTCTGTAATATTAGAGTCTAAGATAACCAGCACATAGTCTACTCTTTAGAAGCTTCAAAAACTCATGTTTATAAAAAAACATATTGGTTTAATCGATTAAAAGACCAAATAATCGATTATTACAGAGAGAAAAATCATTTTCTGTATCAGCTCTCTGGAATAATCGATTAATAGCTGAAATAATCGATTAGCAGGTCTGTTAATTGATTAACAGGCTAAATAATCGATTAACTGGCGTGATTATGAGTTTTTGTTGATTTTGGCTCTGTAATAATCGATTAACACTCAAGATAATCAATTATTTCAGTCAGATATGCATTTTAACTTCAAAATTAGACCAAGTTTCGAAAACCCTAGTCCCAATACACCAAGTTTCGAAAATCCCCAATTCCCAAACCCTAATTCGTCTACTTAAGGTTCTCTAAGGCTCTCTGCAAAAAGAACAACCTTTTTCAAACAAAAGTTGAGAGTTGTGATTGCCAGAGAACTATTTCTTGGAGGAAAAATGGGCTTTTGGAACCTAGTGTGGGCTAGAAGCGATAAGAATCACTAAGTGGAGTTCTTGGTGGATTGCGTGTTGTGCTGTCTCTAGGAAAAACTGTTCTTCATCTCTTGTGTGACTCAAGAGAGGTGTTTTCGTTACCTTATCTTTTCATTTGTAATCTGCTTGTATAACTTTGATTATAGTGACAACATTAATCCTCTGTTTGAGTGATTAACAACTGAACGTAGGGTCTTTTGATCCGAACCAGTATATATCTTCTGTGTAAGACTCTATCCTTATTTTATTTACGTTTACACAACATTTTAATCGGTAAAATTTGAGAAAAAATTTTAAAACCTAACCGTTCACGCAAACATTCCGCTGCGCAATTCTAACATATTTAACATAATTATGGAAACTAAATATAGAGAAGAACTAAATAAAAGAGATGGTAAGATAATAAATTTTATAATTTAACTAATAAATAAGATATTATATGTAACTTATGTTTTAGAAGATGAAAAATTGTAATACTATTTAAATTTGACAACATACTTCTCCCCATATAATTTGGCTAATAAAACAAATATAATCAAATTTAATAATAATTGCACAATAACATCTTTTCTAATTACACAAAACCTGTTTATGTAAGTATAATAATGGTCCAAATTCTATTTCTAAAACTCGAATAAATATAACCCACAAATGAAAAAAATCATAACAGGTCATCGTCTAATACTAGTAAACTATGTTCTTTTCTAAATAAATGACAACAATATATGTTTTTTTTTTAAAATAAATAACAACAATGATAAGTCAATGATCATCCAATATTATATATTATAATATGAGAAAAATTAGTTGACTTTAAAAATTCATTATAACATATCCAAGTCATCAAACCAAGAAAAGTCCACAAAGAGAATAAAAAAAAAAAGAAGCAATCTTTCTCCCCCCCTTTCTCTCCTTACAACAAATAAAATTTATATTAAACTCTTAACCAATCAAAATCCCTTATTTTCATATCTTAATTCTCATATTTTTTTTTTTGCCTCCATGATAATTTTCTTTTTAATCGTTACATTTCCTTTCTAGCATTTTGAATCATCCATTGGCATGTGATCAAAACAACAAAATTTGAAGCGAAATGTTCCGAACGAGTAGAGGACATTCCTTGAACGTCATTAAGAGATAACAATCACCTAGGTGGCGGATTTATCTCATTCCATTTTTCATTAGGCCTGCTTTGGTTAGTTCTTACGAAATATGCACCTTGACTCACAAGGATGAGTTCGTAAGAACTTGAATTATTGTATCCACCGAAAGTTTCGCGTTTGGTACAGGAAAGGACTGCAGTCAGTTGATACTCTTGACAAATTAAAAACTAGTGCAATTTTTATCTGTGATTGGATAGGAGACATTTAAAATATCAAAACTTGCTTTACTTCATGTCTTATTAATCATCAATGTACATAAGAACATATAAATTCTTCATATGAAAATCACACAAGACATGAGCAACGCTATTATGGGACAAGACTTGAGACGACACAACAACTAGAATATCGTATTAGTATTTGGAACGGCCACAGACAAAGATAACTCCAGATTAAGCTTTACTGTCAATAGTCATTGGCACAGGCTCCTGGTTTGCTGTTGCTGCTCTAGCTTGTTCTAGTTTATTCATTTTAGCAAACATGCAGCCGTAAAACTGAGCGTCCTTCTTGTTGTATTCTCTCACTTTCTGCTTCAAAATTTTGTACTCCATCTTCACATCCCTGATAATATCATCCAACAGAGTCAATTCAAACAAGAAATTCCATGTATTAGGACAGCTACTACAGTGTTTTATCTGTGTATCGAACTGCATATTCAAGTTGATCACAGTCGGGAACAAAAAGCATACCTGTTGTCCGGCTCAATCTCAAGGGCTTTTTTAATGTCCATTTCAGCTAGATCCAAGTCCACAAGATGAAGATATGCTTGTGCCCTCCGGTACAATGCTTTTACGTTTCTACTATCAAGCTCTAACGCCTACGTTGTAAAACAAAACTCTCAGGGGTGTCAGTGATCACGCTATTCCATTTTGATTCCTGAATTCAGCCATGGAGAAAGAAGAAAAGTCTGAGAAAAAAAAAAGTACCTTGGTGCACATCTTCTCTGCCTGTTTGTAGTCCTTTAGCTTCAACTTACAGGCTGCATTGTTGAGATTGCATGTGATTTTCAATGTCTTGGCTTGCTGTTTCTCCTCATCACTGAAGGAGGAATCGTATTCAATAAATTTTATGGCCTGTCACCAAGAGAAAACGAACAGCTATTGTTAGTTCATTCTTAGCACAGCATAACATAACTGTTAATAGCCAAGAAACATATATAAAACCTGTTGGGAGTAATAGGGATATACCTTTTCATATCTCTTTGCCGCTCTTTCATATTTTCCAACCTTAAATAAAGCATTCCCTTCTTCCTTTTTCTTCCTAGCTGCCTCAATCTTCTCTGGTGTATTCAGATCCCATGATTCCTTCTCCTGCATTGCGTTCCAATTTCAGTTATTAAAGTCAATACATGAAACTTGTTTAAACCTATAAAAAAATTCAAAAAGGTGAAGACATAACTCTCACCTTTTCAAAGGAAAGCAGCTCAACTTCATGGTACACAGTTGAATTGGGAGGAACAATAGCCAATTCCTGAGGGGACCCAGATGAGCCAAAAGCATATTCTGGTTGTATGATCAGCGATGCAATTTCACCTTTCTTCATGTTCTTCACAGCTTTGTCAAGTCCATCAATTACTTGCTCTACTTGGCCAATCAAGTATACAACTTGGTAAATAGTACTGAAAGCAAAAGAACAAAAGGACTTAAGAATTCAAGTAGTTAGTGTGATTGTTTTATGTCACCTTCATCAATCTTGAACTCGAATGGCTGTTCATCGTCATGGCCCTTCTTAATGAAAACAGTTCCATCTTGTAGCTTGCCAATTAGTTTCACTGAAACAAAGGAAATAATGCGTCTCTTCAATTTTCCATCCAGCATATACAACACTTAAAATCAAGGAGAAGATTTGATAAGATTATATAAGAAATCCCACAAAACTATACCTTGAACTACAGCTCCATCGTTTGGTCGTTCATATCCCTCTCCTTCCTTCAAAGTCTTCTTGAGAACCTTCCTATCTTTGGTAATGTCAGACACGTTCTTCCACGAGACCAACTCAAGATCCACTTGAAGTGAAGCATTTGGAGGTACGGCACCTTCTTCTCCTGATGCTGGCCTTCCGCTCTCACCAAATGCATCTGTAAAACTTTGAATGTCAATAATCTTGCACAAGCAAAATGTGTACACACAGATACTGTCGATAAATAGAAGTGTTCCTTACACTGTGGATTCACATTCAAGAGAACTTTCTCTCCCTTCTTCATTGTTTTCACAGCCTTAGCCAAAGCAAGACAGAAATACCCTGTTTGAAAATAGTCATATAATGTTAATTCCATCAGAATTCAAGAACATGTAAAGAAAAATAGACTTCAATTTTGCAAAGCATGAGACTGACCCTCTTCCACCGTGAATTCCACCCCACCAGATTTTGAAATGACTGTTCCATCTTCAAGCCGAGCTTCGTACTTGACTGCAGAAAGAAGAATAGGTGAATCTTTTAGACAACAGTGTTTTCAAACAGGTGAATCTCAAAAACAAGGATTGAGTTCCGTACCAAAGACTTCATCAAGGTCCTTAGGATTATCCCATTTCTCCCCTTCAGTAATTATGTTCTTCAAAATTCCTCCATCCTTGCATATGTCCTTCACACTTGTCCAAGACAACAACTCCACATCAAACTGCAGAGTTGCATTAGGGGGAATAGAGGGAGGAGATCCAGACTCTCCATAAGCCAATTCTGGGGGAATGGTGAAAAGGGCATTTTCACCTTTCTTCATAGTTTTAATACCTTCATCCCATCCCTTGATCACTTGCCCTGCATTAATCAAGTCACAAAACATTCATTATTATAGTCATCATCAATATTCATTGAAGATTAATTCTTATGCATTGCAAAGGTTTGACTCACAGAATTATGGCAAGGGCAAAAGTGATTGAATTAACCCACCTTATTCTCTAAAAGTCACTCTATATATAATTCCCAACATAATTATTGCAAAAAAAAATTATTAAACTGATAATTTTACAACCAAAACAAGAGGACAAAAGTGATTCATTGATGAATGAATGTGTGTACCTTGGCCAAGCTTGAACTTGAAAGGTGTCCCCCTACCACGGCTAGAATCAAATTGAGTTCCATCAAGCAAGGTTCCGGTATAATGCACTTCAACTTGGTCTCCACTGTTGGGGGTGTCCCAACCTTCACCTTCCTTCAGCAGCTTCTTCTTCATACCCATGTTCCCAATCTCCTTCTCCTCCCCAACCTTAAGGATCGAACTCTCTATCTCCTCCTCAGGCATTTCCATGCTGCCAACACTCGGGAACTCGAAATCCTCATCCATGGCTTACCAACAGGCGAACAAATGCTCACGAATGTGGTAAGTGCTTATTATTCAGAAATCACTCTAACAAAGAAAGCGTTTTTATGTTTCTGAAACGATCACAGAAATCTGTTCATGGTTATATATATATTTATCGGTGGGAGTGAAAGAGGAGAGCGTGTCTAGAGAGTTCTATGAGCCAAAGTTGTCAAGATGGTTCCAGAATTATCAAGTCAATTCCATTTAACTTTTATTATTCTTGTGGTTATGAATGTGATGATGAAGCCTAAATTTCAACATTTGGACAAAAAAATATATTTATTTCTCAAATCTAACGATCCGACAATGAAGCAGTTGTTCGTTATATTCCGAATGGATTCTAACTGAATGTTTGAACAGTTCTTTCTTTATTCATTTTAATTTTGTTTTTACTCCTTTACTAACAAATTTCAGTTGATAAATAATTGAATTCCTCATTGCAAAAAGTAAATTCAGTAATTACACATTTTGAATGACTTTCGTTATAAAAATTACCTTACCTTTAACAAAAAAAAATATTTATTATTATTGAGAATCATTTGGGTTGCTGTTCAAAGAAAAAACTATTTTTTTCTTTTTATTTAACTTCCTTACAAATGTTTATAGAGACTCTTTTTTTTAAATATAATTTTTTTGGATCTAATATATTTAACTTTGTTAAAAATTTGTTTTTATGAAATGATAGATGAAAATAGTAACATATTTTTATAAAAAAAAATTATTTTTGAAAAGTAGTTTATTTATTAAAATTAATAGAAACACGTGTATTAAACTATCTATATACCCATTTTTTTTATATTTAATTTCTTAAAATATTATTTTTTGTTTCTTTTTACTCTTTTAATATAAACAATGTTTTCTTTTTCCTATTTTTAATATTTCTTAATATATAAATTATAATAATTATATTTTCAAGATTATAATATTGTTACTTTTTCTCTCTTTAGAATTTGATTTAGAGTATAAATAAATAAATATATAAATTTATTTATTTATTTATTTATTTATTTATTTATTTATTTACATGTCATACCCAAATTTATTGGGCCAACTAATTATAATAGTCTATCCAAATCTATTAAAGATATTATTTTTATTTATTTTGTTATTAATTATTTTTATTTTGTTTAATATTTTATATTAATTATTATTTTATGGACTATAAATTATTATATTTTAACTCATTGCTATTTTTTTACTATTATATAAAGTAAGGAAAATGATACTTTGACAACCCAAATCCATACAACTCCTGTAAACAACTCTCTTTTAATATTATAATAATAGTTTTATTTTATTTTTATTTTTATTAAATCATTCTATAGATTATTATATTAATAAAAGTAAGTTGTTTGAAGGGTTGTATGGTTTCTGGTTGTCAAAATATCACCACTCATAAAGTAATTTAATCTCATTACTCACTCTAAAATACATCTCTCTTTACTTGAGCGTCAAAGTGCATTTTGTAGGTGAGCCTCTACACTTTCTCGAAGGAAGGAACTTCAAGTAGAGACTTAGAGATCGATTGATCAACTTCATCTTCTTGTCTTGCCGACCACTTTTAGCTCAGTAAAATGATCCCTATGATCTCTTTCACCCTATGGTTTTAACTAGTAGTCGACGGTGTTCAATTCTAACTACAACATGGATCCTCCAACCGTCATCAACAACCTCAAAAAACACATGGATAAGTGTCAACAAAAGGTAGTAGAAGAGTTGGAAACAGTTTGAAAGCAATATTAAGAAACTCAACAAAAGGTGGTCGAAGAATTGTAAGGAAACAACACTAGACCAAACTTCAAACCCTTCGTAATGAGTTGAAAACACTACTCCAACGACCATGAATGACTAGGTCGAATGGACACAAGGAAGGAGTTGCAACATCAAACCAACCCCATACCGAACAACCCCTATCTCTAACCAGCAAAACATGTGCGAAAGTTGGAGGTCCGGAACAAGTTAATAGTTCGGTCTAAAGATCGGAAATTCCATCGAGACCGAGTGGCAAAGAGAGCGGACCACTCGAGGGAACATGGAAGGCACAAACACACTAAGGAGGCAATAGCTTGGCTACCCCCTTTGAAAGAGCCTATTAATTATACAAGCTCTGCTCCACGTTCAACCTGCACGTACTCAAAGAATTGAAATCCAAGAAGAAGACAACGACCACTCATTCATCCCAGGAATCATGGAAATTCCCCTCCCACTTAATTGGGAGCCTCTAGACATAGAAAAATACGATGGGACAACGAATCCCGAAGAGAACTTAGCAATGTACAGGGCCTAGGTCAAACTGTACACCAACAATTGTGTCATTCTCTGTCGAGTTGTTCCCACCATGTTGCGAGGATCAACCTTACGATGGTACAATTCTTTATCATATAACTCCATAGATTCATATTATATGCTAGCATAGCTGTTCCGAGTGAGGTTCGCAACTAGTAACATGCACGAGGCCACATTCGTGGCCTTGGAATGTGTGAAACATGGAGAGGGTGAATCCCTTTGAAATTTTATGGACCAATTCGCACGAGTTTCAAATATCATACCAAACCTACACCCAGAAGTGGCCTTACATGCCATATTAGTAGCCCTACAACCAGAACCCTTAATGGATAACGATTTTTCTTATCCACCTAGGTCCGTCGATGAGCTACACACTCGAGCAACCAATTATATCTGAATGAAAAATAACAATGCCCTATTCAAGAAAAGGCATAACGATTCTGGAATGCATTCTACACAACCTTACAAGAAATTGAGAACCGCTAAGTATGAGCGATATATGCCTCTAAACACCAACCAAGAAGCAATCCTACAAGACGCATTTAGTCTGGATCTCGTACATACCCCTCTACCTCTACCAACACTAGTCCATGCAGACACAACTAAGTATTGTTGATTTCATCGAAATTATGGGCATACCACAGAAGAATGCCAAAAGGTCAAAGACATTATTGAGGAACTCATCAGATCAAATTTGCTCACATAGTTTGTAAGTAACGACTAGAATGTGGGCCAAGGACAGGCATAAGGTGGATATCGTGGACAAGGTTGGGGTAGCGAGGAGGATTTTATGACAAAGGTTGTGGTCGCAATGCTCCTCCATTACCACCTACTCCACTTCCACAAAATGAACAAAATCATGTTGAACATTAGGAAATAGAGGAAGAAAGGATGAACAGCCCTATGCCCGTCATCCGAGGTGTAATCAACAACATTGTAGGAGGATTCGTAGGAGGAGGATCATCAAGCTCCACTCGTAAACGACACCTCAAGGTCATACATAACATCAACACCTCGCATAGGAGGACCCAACCCCCTATAACCTTTTTCGACGAGGATTTCAGATCTCATGAGCCGACTTTAGATGACCTGATAGTGGTCACAGTGGAGATAGGTAACTGGGAAGTAAAGAAAACATTAATCGACCAGGGGAGTTTGGCAGATCTATATTGGTCAACTTTCCTCAAGCTCGACCTTTCTCTTACACTAATTCAAACTTATCCTGAACTATTACTCAGTTTTGTCGGAGAATACATACACACCAGGGGATACGTGGATCTAATCACCATGTTTGGATCATCAGACCATAGCAAACGAGTCATGGTCCAATACATATTTATAGCAAACGAGTCTTACAATGTTCTAATAAAAAGACAAACACTAAATCATCTCAGAGTTGTCATCTCTACTTACATGTGGGAATGAAATTCCCAACAAATGATGGAACAATTATAATGGTTCATCAGATCCAAGGGAAGCTCGGGCATGCTACATTAGGAGCCTTAAGGTCACACCTTATTCATTAAGAGACAAGTCGGAAGAACCAAAGGAGGATGCAACACACAAAGAATGTTGCATTACATATGTGCCAGTTGACCTCGACCCCCTAGACAAATTCGAAAAAGATAGACCAACCTTCAACGAGCAATTGATAGAAATCCAAGTTGGAACAACACAGGAACAAATAATTGCGGTCAGACAAACATTACAGACAGGTGATCATCTCACACTTACCGAAATACTTAGTATGAATATTGACCTCTTTGCATGGAGCCCTTCGGATATGTTTGGTATTGATCCAAACTTAATTTGTCATAAGTTAGCATTCGCCCATGCAAAGCTTGTAGCTCAAAGAAAGAGAAGGTTAGGTGGAGATAGATGTGTAGTCGTCCAACAGGAAGTTGAAAAACTTTTGCAAGCTCGATTCATAAGAGATACCTTATATGACCTAGTTAGCAAATGTGGTTATGGTAAGGAAATCCAATGGGAAGTGGTGAATGTGTACAAATTACACAAATTTGAATAGAGCATGTCCAAAGGATTCTTATCCTCTACCGAGCATAGATCGGTTAATTGACAATACATCGGTTATCAACTACTTAGTTTCCTAGATGCATAAATCAAATTAGAATGTATTCGCCAGATGAAGAAAAAATGACCTTCATGACTGAGGGGGTCAATTATTGTTACCGAGTCATGTCTTTCGGCTTAAAATATGTAAGTGCAACGTATCAACGTTTGATGGAAACGGTCTTCAAAACTCTTATTGGTCACTACATGGAAGTCTATGTGGACGACATGGTGGTGAAGTCCATGAGTGTCGCTGACCATCTCCTGCATCTAGAATAGGATTTTCAAGAGATAAGGCGACACAATATGAGATTGAATCTCGCAAAATGTGTCTTTGGCGTCAGAGGCGACAAGTTCCTCGGGTTTATGATTACCTAAAGAGGTATTAAAGCAAACTTGATAGATGTGAAACTCTCATTTCAACACCAAGTCCGAGAAGTATTGTAGACCTCAAATCTTGTTCTGCCTTATAACAAATTTTAGAAATCATCCATTTTGAAGATGAACAAGACTTCATCAGGCTCCTAGTAGTGTTTATTAGGCTCTATGTAAGAAAAGGAGAGTTTTTCTTAGAAAAAATAAAAAATAAAAAATAAAAAATAAAAATTTTGTCGAGAAAATCTAGG